TGCTTGTCGGGCTCCTGTCGCGTCCTTTTGGTGGGCCTGGTCCCTATGTCGACAGTATCGCGTCCCTTAGAAGCAGCGTTGAAACACCTCCGGGCAGCGGCTAGGTCTCCTTGGATAGTAGCCACCTGTGCCCTCTTGGTGTAGAATTTTATCTTCAGGTGGACGGTCGAGGGCACCGCTGTCAGTTCTGCTAGTGTTGGTCTCCCCAAGATGCAGTTGTACAGAGACGGGCAGTCGATGACGAGGAAGCGTACTTTGACTTGTCTTGTAGTCGCCCCTTCGCCGAACGTAACCAGAAGCTCGACATATCCCCAAGGTTTGGAGGTCGAGCCGTTGAAACCTTGTAAGTCCAACCCCACATACGGCGAGAGATGTGAGTCGTCCAGCTGTAGAGTTCGGAACAGTTGGCTGTACATCACGTCGACGAAACTCCCTTCGTCGACGAGGATGCGATGTACATCAAAATTGGCCATTCTCACCCTTATCAGTAAGGGGATGACCGCGTTCGGGGCTCTGCCGGGGATCTCTTCTAGGTAGAAGGTGATGGGCTCTGACCTGCCCTTCACCCTTTCGAACGTCACTGTTTGCGGGGGAGACGCGTCGACCAACTCATCCAGCTTCCTCTTAGCTGAATTGATGGTCAAGTCGTTGAACCTGTCGCCGTTGATGACCAGGGCGGAGGGGAAATATTCCCACCTGCTGTGCATTGTGAGCGGCTCCTGCAGGTGCTCGGGGATGTCAAAGTCTTCGGGCCTGGTCACGGAGAAGGCGGTCTGGATGGGGAACGACTTGTCAGATGGTCGGGCATCTTCCTCCGGCTCCCTAGTTTCTTGGGCGTCACGACGGGGAGCGTCGCTTTGCGGTACTGCGCGAGCCTCCCTCCCTTGATGAGGGTTTCGATGTCGTCCTTGAGGTGGACGCAATCCTCAGCCAGATGACCATGGCTCTTATGGTACTGACAATACTTGTTCCTGTCTGCTCCGGGCTTGGCGGGAGCAGGTCGGGGACGTTTGACACCGCCGTCCTTGAAGTCAGTGCTGGCACACTCCGCCAGAATGCGCTTGCGAGAAGCTGTGAGCGGAGTGTACTCGGTGAAACGCCCCGAAGGTCCTCTTTGTTCCCGGACTTCCCGGGGTCTATCTTCTTTTCTTTTCTCCCCGGTTCGTCGAGGAGGAGCTTCTTGGCGCGAGCTGCTGTTGGACCCGCGAGTCCTGGGATCTCGGGCTCTGTTGGCCGCTTCCCTCTCCTCGTAGTCCATGTATGCCCGAGCTTTTTCGAGGAGGGCGTCGAATGTCCTAGGTGGCTCGATACCCACGGCCTTTCTGAATTACGTGCCGGGGAGGAGCCCCCTCTCCAGCAGATATCTCTTCATATGGTCCGCGCAGGGGACCTGTATAGCTTCCCGGTTGAAGCGATTGATGAACTCCCTCAAGGTCTCATCCTGTCGCTGGATGATGGCCTCGAGGGCGGCCTCAGTCTTCGGATGTCGCCGAGAAGCTGTGAATGAACTGATGAACTGGTTCTTCAGGTTTCGCCACGAGGTGATTGAGCCCAGGGCGAGTCCTTTGTACCAGTCCATTGCCGCCTTCCTGAGAGTCGTGGGGAATAGTCGGCATTTGATGGGCCCCCTGACATTGTGGTAATGCAGCATAGCCTCGAACCCGTCTATGTGGTCGACCGGGTCCGCGACTCCATCGTACTCCTTCAAGTGTGGGGGTTTCTCCATGCCCGGGGGGGATGGGTGCTTCCATAATAGCTTGCGACAGGGGACCGCGTGGGTCGTCCTCGTCGCTTCTCTCCGGAGACAGAGATGGGGACCTGTAATACTGTCTGGCACGACGGTCCAGGTCGTGCTGAGTCTCTCTCGAGCGGGATGCTCGGTGGTTGAATTTTACACGCCCGTCTCCAGAGTGCCTTCTTTCTTGTCTCGCCGGGTCGCGACTAGGTTCTCCGGCTTGAATGATGGGCTGCCTCTCCAAATGAGGTCGTTTCCCCTTTGGTCGGGGTGATTGGCTTCGAGAGGTTTCTCTGTAGTGTCTCCGCGGGGGAGACGGGAGTTGGGTTTCAGTCACTCGAGGAGGGGGAGTATGGGGCCTCCGATGCCTCCTCGGGGGTCTTCGTTCGTCTTCAAGCGCCCTTAGTCTTTCCCCTTGGGCGAAGATGAGATAGTTTGTTTGATTAATCGCCGCGAACAGCGCTTGAGTTGTGGCATCCGCCCCGGCGGGGACGGAGACTTCCTGGAACCGGGAAGCCCGGTAGTTTGCGAGGGCTGCCTGGTCGTCTTCGAGTGGCGGAGGGACCGAGGAAGATGACGCAGTAGCTCCGTCCCGGTAGGTTGAAGGTCCGGGGATAGTTGTCGCAGGAATGGTGTTGTGGTCGGGGTTGCCGGCGTTATCAAGGTGTCAGTTTTTGTCCGCGGTGCCGTTGTTAGTGTCGAGGACGCGGACGTTCTGTTCATCGCGAGCTTGATCAGCCATGACAGCGGTAGTTGAATTTGAGCTTTGGTCTTTGAGTTTTGCAAGACGGGGAAGCTAGATTCCCACAGACGGCGCCACTGATCTAACCTGATCAGACTTGGACCGTCACGGCTGGCTCCGAGCTGAAGTTTTGAACGAGGTGGGGGGGTACCTGCAAGGCACTCCGATGCTGAAGTAAGTAAGAGCGCGAGCAGGTAAGAGTATGAGTATGGGTAAAAGAATGAATACCTGACCCTCTGGGAACAGAGGGTATTTATAGCCCCCAGCGCTGGGCCAAGGTTCCTTCATTGGGCCGGGCAGGTTTGGCCCAATGGAGGAACTGCCAGGTTCTACGTGCGTAGTGGGGACCCGCACGTGGTCCCCTCCCTAGATGTTCTGCGTGAAGTACGGACGGATAAGGACGCGGTCTTTTCGGGATCCAGGTGATGGCGTAGTGGATAGAGTCTGCCCAGGAGGAGTGCCCGAGCTGAGGTCGAGCAGGATAGCATGGAGTCGAGGACGTCGCACTAGCAAAAAATGCCGGACAAGGATATGGCCTTTTGGTCGGCGTGACCCTTTGCAAGACCGTTTGGATTGGGCCTTCACCATTGCTTTTGGGCCAGCCCGGCTCAGTCCAGAACAATATGCAAAAAAGTTTACAAGAAAATTTTTCGAGAGACTAAAATTAAATATTAATTCATTTTATAAAGATTAAAAATATATTTAATTTAATAAAATAAGATAAAACACTTTTTCTTATTTTAATTATTATTATTATTATTATTTTTTTTTGGTTCTCGTAAATGTCTCATTTAATTTTTAATTTCTCCAATTTTTTCTTTAAAGAATAGTTCTTATAAAAATTTTAATTTTAACTTTTAACACCTTTTGCAATTTAACGATGATTTTTAAAAATAGAATTGGCGACGATTTTCTATTTAACGACTGAATTAACAATAATTTTAACATGAATGACCAAAACTTAAAATTAAAATTATTAGAAAAATCATTCTTTGAAGAAATTTTTTAAAAAGACTAAAAAAAATATAAAATATTTAAGAGGATAAAAAACATATTTAACACTTATCATTATCATTATCATTATCATTATCATTATCATTATCATGACAATAGTTTGTTGATGAGTATTTTCTTAGAATTTTTGAAAAAATATGGTCAAATTTTTTCTCTCTTAAAATAATTTTTTTAATGTTATTATGCATATCATAATCAAGAAAAAAGTCATTTCACAATGAAAATTTAAATTATTTTTTATTTTAAAGCATAAATTTATAATTGTTAAATCGGTAAAAGTACAATGTAAATTGTAAGAAATAAAATAAAATAAAAAGAAAGATAAGGATAGAGAGTGTTTTAAAACAATATTGTATTTGATATTAAAAAAGAAAATAAAATATATAAGTTTATTAAAATAAATTCAAATTTAATTGAATATACATGAACTCTTAAATTAAAAGAAAAATACAGGATATGATTTGGTGTCAAAGTAATCTTTGACACCTGGTGATTTGTAATGATTTTATATAAAATCTAATTTAAAATAGTATATATATATATATATATATATATATATATATATATATATATATATATATATATATATATATATATATATATATATATATATATATATATATATATATATATATATATATATATATATATATATATATATATATATATATATATATATATATATATATATATATATATATATATATATATATATATATATATATATATATATATATATATATATATATATATATATATATATATATATAATCAAATTTATTAATTCATAAATATCAACTTATTTATATTAAATAAATGATGCCAGCAAAGATTTTATCCTATGTAAATAATTTATTTTCATTTAATCTAACTAACACATATTAGTCTAGCTACCCCCAACCATTCTTATTTAATTATTTTTAATAATATATTTTTCAAATATAATTGAAGCTTATTAAAAAATTATATTTGGGTCAAATGTTTGCATTTGGTCAATTAATATAGTCAATGCAAATCAAATAGTTAAAGTAATATTTATTAATATATAGCTAAATGAATTAGTAAATTATTAATTAAAAAAATGATCTTTGACAAATAAGATTTGTTCAATATACTAATAATTATATTACAATTTTGTTACCATATACATTATATCAATAAATACCTTTTAAATAAATTTATATAATAATTGTAATGTATTCAACGAATCTTATTTGGGTCAAATATTTCAATAATTTTATATATATATATATATATATATATATATATATATATATATATATATATATATATATATATATATATATATATATATATATATATATATATATATATATATATATATATATATATATATATATATATATATATATATATATATATATATATATATATATATATATATATATATATATATATATATATATATATATATATATATTTATGTATATATATTGAGTGATAAATATATATTGTAGTATCATAGAAGCAGAAAAAAGATAGAGAGAAATGACTCGCAGTTACACTTTTTTCGTTGTAGCCTTGATTGCAATATTTCTTTTATCAACAAGTGTGCCCAAAGTTGAATGTGCTCTTCGCTGCATTGGCAAGTGTCCATATTTCACAGGATGTGATAACGAATGCAAACGACAAGGCTATGTGAATGGGGAATGTCAACCACCTTTTGGCCAATATTGTTGTTGTACCCTTCCATGATAAGCTTCAAAATTAATTAGAGCTTTTCTTGTATTTTGAATAAAACATTAGTATGTCTGGTTGTTTAGATCAAACTCATTGTTCCATGATCAGTTGATAAAATTAAAAATCTTATTTGAAATGGTTAAGAATAAAGAATACAAGGTTTTGGTTATAATTTGATTATGTAGTTGTTTAATTGTGCAGCTTGCCTGATTTTTTTATTCTTCTTGATGTAAAATTTCTTGGTGGTTCATGTCTTGATTATGGTTTTCTTAATAATGAATTCAATGTTAAAATTTTTTTTTTTAATAAGAGAAAAATGATTATGCAATTTGTTAACCAATAACAGACATTATTCGGTTAAATTACACTTTTATTTTTAAAATATTGATAAGACATGGTTGAATGATAAAATTCTATAGAATCGTGATATAAAATAATTTTACATCGACAGTGTACTATCTTTAATCTCTTTTAATAATAAATTTAATGTTTAAAAATTGAATTCGAGCTCAGAGTTATGGTTCAACTGGATTAATTAGTTAAACCCTCGAATGTCTACTATAGTTCATCGTCTCTCTCGCTTGTGCTTCATTGAAGGCGTTTGAAGCTTCGTTAAAGATGCTGAATACGTCATTGATCTTGGTGTGTGAAAGTATCACATTTTTGGATTTCTAATGAAGATTTACATTGTTTGAAAGTTGTGGTCCCAACATTAAGAAAGGTTAGTAAATGTTTATTCCTTTTTGTGTTTTTCGAATTGTTTATGGTACCCTTTATTTACATTTCTTCCATTTTTGTCCGACATAGATATAGGATTTTGTATTGTGTGTGGTCCACCTGAAAAATTGTTGTGTTGAGTATAAATCATGAGTTTATAGTGCACCTAAGAGATATGGCGGGTGAAATAGGTGCTTTGATCGATTTTCAGTTTTAGAGATGTGTTACTTTAATTTTCTGGTTTGATGGTGTTTATGAAAGCGGTAAAATACATAAAAATAAAGAACACAGAGTAATTATACTAGTTCCTCTCATAGTCTTAGAGTACGCTCAGTTCTCTTACAACATGTAAAAGATTTCACTATTGTTAGAACCTTGTACAAGCCATATCCTAGCCTCTATACACAAGTTACTAACTAAATCAACAAGGAACATTACCTTAGGATTTTACAAAGTAGAAAAAGAAAATAATCATTTCTTTTTCACTCTCTTGTTTCCAACAATCCTGGACAACAAGGTATCTACATCAATCAAGTAAAAAAAATCCTTTCTTTCCACTCTTGTTTTCACAATCCCGGACAACAAGGTATATACACAAATTTGAATTGTATAAGAAGTTTGAAGTTGTAATACTTTTACCAATTGCAAGAATTGATCTTCTATTTCAAGTAAACAATTCACAAGTATGTTACACAAGTGCTCATAAATGAATTGATGAAAATTTTAATGATGCAATGAAATTGAATGCAAAAGTTTCACACAAAAGTTTAAGACACGAGGCACTTCATTAAATTCAAAATATTGAGTTTGAATTGTAATGAAAGAGGTGAAGAAACAAAATCTGATATGATAGGTATTTATATAAGCATAATACCTTTTTGAATAAGCATGATATCATGAAACGATGCCATGATTGTCTTTTTCTGTCTTAGAATAAATCAGAATATTGTCAATAAAGACCACAACAAACTTACCCACGTAGAAATAAAAAGTTCAATTCATATACTCCATGAAAACACCTGGCACATTAGATACACCGAACGATATAATAGTGTATTCATAATGACCATACCTTGTTCGGAAAGCCTTCTTCAAAATATCATCTGGTTTAAATTGAATCTGATGATAACCCGACCTCAAATCAATTTTACTGAAAACACTCGCGTCCACTAGCGGATCCATTAAATCATCAATTCTCAGAAGTAGATACTTATTCTTAATCATCACTTTATTCAACTGTCTGTAATCTACACACAGTCGCATACTTCCATCTTTCTTCTTAACTAGCGACACTAGAGCACCCCACAGCGAAACACTCAGTAGAACAAACTTCTTCTCGAGCATCTCTTTCAATTGTTTCTTCAACTCGCTCAACTGTGAAGCTGACATTCTATAAGAAGTCATTGACACTGGACTCGTGTCTGGAACCAAATCTGTAGAAAATTCCACTTCACGTTCAGGAGGTAAATTACTGATGTCATCTGGAAACACCTCTAGAAATTCGCAAACAACAGGTAATTCCATATTCACATCCTTACCATCCATTCAATGCGAACACTCTACCATTGGTCTGGGCAGTAGCATCCTTCCTCGGCTTCTGACACTGGGTACTGATATGACCTTTCTCTCCATAATTGAAACAAGTCAGACCATTGTTCTTGCATTCAGGAGCATGACGACAAGACTTACCACACTTGTAGCACCTCAACACCTTATTCTCACATTCATTGGATCGGTGAACTTGCTCATCACACCTATATCACTTGATAGAAGCGAGAGCTCCTCCCTCAATTGTCTTCTTCCCATCATAAGCCATATGTTTCCATTTATCAGATGGGGCATCATAAGGCTTCTTACGGTCCTGATATTGCTTTCCTCTTTTCTCATTTAAACTCTTGTAGTCAGCTGAATGAGCTTTTCTATCCTCCTCATAAATTTTACAGCTATTCACCAACTCTGGAAACACACAGATCTGCGGGTACCCAATCGCCCGCTTGATCTCTGGATGCAACCCATTCTCAAACTTGATACACTTTGAGAACTCAGTAGTTGCTTCGCTGTAATATGGATAAAACTTTGATAGTTCCACAAACTTCGAAGCATACTCAGTCACAGTCAAACTCCATTACTTCAACTCCATAAACTCAATCTTTTTCTTCCCACACACATGCTCCAGAAAATACTTCCTCAGAAATTCCCTACTGAACACAGCCCAAGTAATCACTTCACCTAGTGCTGTCAGTATCAGACGAGTACCAACCCACACATAGTCAGCTTCCTCTGTTAGTTGATGCGTACCAAACTTCACCTTCTGTGCCTCTGAATAATCCATGACTCAGAAGATTCTCTCAATCTCCTTAAGACAAACTTGTGCTCCATCAGAATCAAACCTACCCTTGAAAACAAGCAGATGATTCCTCTAGAACGTCTCCAAAACACGGGATCCATCATTAGGCTGATGTTGCACAACTTTAGCAATAGCCTGCAAAGTAGCAGCAAGTGCAACATCGTTCCTTCCAGCCATTTCTCTATTTCACATCAATAACACTCACAATGGTTAGAAACTATCTCGGCAGTATTCCACTGTCACACTACAGACTCAATAATTTGGCCGGACAAACCAACCTGCTATGATACCACTAATATAACATCCCACTAAACCCCAAAGAATATTCATAATTATTTTAATGAATAAAGCATAGTATATCACCAACAAGGATGTCACATCTTCGTATAAAACATCATAACAATACATTCTGCTCCGTAACACGGGTTGCAAAAACACTTTAAATCATATAACACTTTGGTCTCATCATATAATCATTTCAAACTTTGCAGCAAAATTAATAAGTCATATCTTCTTCATAACATTTAGTCATGCTTCATAATTCATACTTATAAATCAAAACATCTCAAGTACCACGTAGGGTGACTCAACATCTTAAAACAAAACAAAGAACATAAGTTACAATCATTAGATCTCAACCTCGATGTTACATATCAGAGCAAGACTCCTTTTATTCAGCAAAAGCAAATAAACACACTCTGAAGCTATCCTCTAATTCTTCTATGGACTTTTTTGATCAACTGCGCGTTACCCACGTGGAGGCAACATTCAAACAGAAATGGTGATTAAATCATAATCATTATATATGACATAAGGAATAGACATAGTAAATATGCACATAAGCAAGACATCACACATCATGATATGTTCATGTTATACTCACACCTTCACAACTTCATCAATACACGAACACACATCATCATACACAATGTATCATCAAGCATCATAAATAAATCATTATGCAATGTCACATAGAATGTTATGCAACGTCATAGACTCATGCATGTGGTACCCAAACTTCACTGATGACTCAGTCATTGTTATCTCCAAAGATTCTTACCATATGATCGATTCCCGCTTGGAACCAGAGCACTTCACTGTTGCACCTAATCCATACTATGGGATTGATGCCTTCACTGGACAATCATCATATCATCTTCGCTGGACCGAAGTCCTAACTTCACTGGACCGAAGTCCTAACATATGCCATGAATTCATGATGCGCAACAACATAATAAACACGACCACGACTAGTCAACATGCATCATTATTCATGATTACATCATCATATAATCATCATAATATCATATCATCATCTAATCATCATATCATTGTATGATCATCTTAAGAAAATATCATATCGTCATAACATCGTATAATCATCATCATAATAAAACACCATCATAATATCATCATCGTGTCATCATAATATCCAAACATCATTATATCATAAAACATATCTTCATGTCATCATATTATATAAGATATCATCATAATGTCTCTTAATCATCCCATATTCATCTTCTAATCATCTTAATAAATAAGCATCTTCGTAATCCAACATGGGGAACCTAACTTCATTTTAGATTAAGTATAGGTAATATACTTCTTATTATTCATTTTACTCCATATAAATAAAGTTCGGAGTGTTATTCATCCAACACTTCAAATGAAACTTCAATTCGAGCTCTAAACTCAAGTTACGACACTTTTAAGAAAATCCAACACGACCATTCAAAACTAGACATCATCGCCTGGAGACTCACCTCCATCGACTGACGACGCTCCCTTCGCCACCACCATCGCCCAATGACGCTTTGAGCAACACACTCCAAAAGCGTCACTCTTTCCTGTGTTCGTTGCTACTATTTTGCATGGCGTCGCATCTTTGCCTGACGACACTACCTACATCATCCGATTATGCTGCACGAACATGGTTTTCCTGTAGTGA